GTTAGTTAGTTAGTTAGTTAGTTAGTTAGTTAGTTAGTTAGTTAGTTAGTTAGTTAGTTAGTTAGTTAGTTAGTTAGTTAGTTAGTTAGTTCAGTTTCCAGTCAGTTTGGGTTGAACAGTGTGTGTCCACCATTTGCAGCCCGGCAGACAAATCCACGGGCCGGGTGGGCGGGGTTTGCGCTCTAGGAGATCAGCCGAAACACCGGCTTAAAATTATTTTATTATTACTCCCGCTCAGATCGACCAGCTAATCCTGGCTCTTTGACCATTTTAACCACGTGACTAGTGTAAACAAAAGTTATTTTTTATGAAAAGGCCATTGACTTAACAAAATGTGTCAAATTACAAGCTTCGTGGTAAAACTGCAGGCCACTTTTGATATTTTGCACATTCGTGTTGACAGATAAATTTAAACAGCCCTAGACACGTAATTCCACTGGCAAAATGTTTTGTTCTTCGTTTAGAAAGGAGTTTCTCCCTTTCCGCTCGTCATAATTTCAACCCGGGCGTCTCCCGGCAAACTGAAATTGATTGTACCCACCCTCATAGCCGTGACGTCATGACGTCTTACGCTCTATTGTTTACTGTCTGAGTTGGAAGGGGGGCGCTAATGGCACAGATTTTTTTCTTTACTGTAAACACCTAAACGTTGTTGTTCAGACAGGAATTGTTTCTTTTTCTGACAGTGGTATTTTTTTTGCGTAGACGTGAACAATCGGTAATGCCGGGCGGAGATAGAAAAATAATGTTCGCTTTTTGTTTTCGTCCGAGAGGCTAAAACCTGACGATGCTAATGTTAGCCCAGCTAGTCAGCAGCTGGACAGACTTTCGTCTGTCCCAGTGTCATTGTTTTGTGTCGTCGTATTGAAACTATTGGCTGCTTTAATTTGGTTACGGATGTGATAAAAACAGACAAAGAACCAGCAGAGAGTGTAAACATTTAACCTGTTTAGTTTTCCTGTCTGCTGTTGTTGTGTGAAGGTATCCGGTCAGCTGGACAGCTTACTCTCTGTTGCTTAATGGGGTGGAGATTACTACCGCCACACAGGCTGGAGTAACATTTAGGCGTCGGTTCTCGAGACGGTGACAGGCACGATGGTGCTGAGGAACTGCTGGAAGTCTCGACACAAAAACAGCCGTGGACCCGCGCATCGCTGGGTCCGACCTGGAACGGCAGCCCTGTTCTGGGTCTGTGCGACCCAGTTAGTTTGCGGCACCGGAGCTGTCGTCGGGGAGACGAAATACGTCCAGAAAGACGCAGAGTTCGACGTGACCTACAACGACACGGTTACCAGTGAGAACCAGACCATCTACGCGTTCAACCACACGATATCCAGGAATAAGGTGGGTTTTCCTGGTGAGAGCAGAACACTCTGGGCTGGCTGATGTGTGTCCCTTGACTGTTTGTTTGCTCCTCAGACGGAGGGGGTCCGTGTGTCCGTGGACGTGATGCAGCAGCAGCTGGAGAGTCCCATCCTGTTCGTGATCCGGCAGAAGCAGGCTGTCATGTCTTTTCAAGTCCCTCTCATCCTGAGAGGCCTGTGAGTGAAACCTCTGTGAATCACACTGTGTAGACACTGAGACCTCCAGTGTCAGCTGGTGGTCCCTCTGGATCTGGTTTTATTATCTTCTCAGCTTCCCAGTGTGAGCTGAGAAATAAAACACTAAAACAACACAGCAACTGTTGACTCAGGTCTTTGTTGTAAGTCATGACACTTTTCAGATAAACCGACATTTAATAGGTTCAACACAAATCTACTCCGCTGTCAGTGGGCCTGTTTCTGCCTAACTGAGTTTTTATACCAGACCCTTGGTAATCGTGTTGTACCTGCAGAGGTCCTGGGGGTGTGGGACCATCTGAACCAGTTGGGACAGATTTTTTCTCTTTAAACAGTTTATGACCTCAGGTCATGTGAGGGAGCAGCTGAAATTCTGCCTCTGCTTGTCGTAAATGTAGTGGATTTGGTTAAGAGCAAAGGTGAGGTAGAGCTGGTTGATTTTTAGATAAGCTAACTAGGGGTGTAAGAAAATATTGATACACTGAAATATCGCGATATTTCATTTCCCGATACTGTATTGATATTCTAAAGCCCTGTATCGATTTTATTATCAAGGTTTAAAATGTAAACTTTCCTGCCAGCCGTTCATTTTTATGTTGTAGTTCAGCCTCTGACCACTAGTTGGCAGCAGTGAGCCAGCCACTTGGCTACTCTACCTCTTGAGGTA